TTACTGGAGGAAAAAAATGCGCACTAAATTATAATTTAACTATTGTTATAGAGCAGACAAAATTGTTATCAAAAACAATATATCAAAAAAACTTTATTTCTTATTATTTAACTTTATAACTGCCATAACTTTTTGATAAATGTATGGATGAATAGATTTTTTTGTATAGATACATGAGGTATTTACCTATTATTTTGTATATTTTTTTTATAAATCTGAATCTTTACTTACCCACAGGAGGGAGGGATTCAAAATGTCAACTTTAATATTCATGAAAAATACTATCGTGAAAATATTGTCGACAACGGAAATATTCTTCTGCAAACTATTACAGGAGACTATAGCATTTAAAACAAAAATAGAACTAAATAATTTCTTTGAGAATATTCAAAAAACCTAAAAATTCTATAAATTGATGAATATTTTTAAAATGTATGATGAAACATTAATTATTTTTAACTTGGTTGATAGGTCACATGATAACCGAAGCCAGCGTAAGTGCCGTGATATTATGCGAAGAATTATTTTTATTATTATTAGGCGTTCGTCTTTTCGGTATCTTTTTAATAAAGCCTACCCAAACTAATATATTGTACTCATCAATAATAAACAACCCACGGGTCTCTACCATCAAAACCATTGTCGACTAGACTATTACAATGAAAGTCCTATCACAACATGCCATAAATATATCTAGCGCGTAATGGTCGCGGTATTGAAATGTTGGCGTGGTATTTTCGTANCTATCACAACATGCCATAAATATATCTAGCGCGTAATGGTCGCGGTATTGAAATGTTGGCGTGGTATTTTCGTACATCCATTTATATCAATAATCAAATGGCATGTGTTGAAATAGAAAAAAACATGAATTTAAACCATTGCAATTGTTGACAATTTTAATAAATATTTTGATACCTTTTAAAAAAGTTATGTTTTTTACCTATGTAATTGCATTGATTTTGGTCATTTTTCAAACTTTCAAGAACTTTGTTTAGATCTTCACTAGATAATTTATTTCCAAACAATTCGTTTGTCGTAATAAGAGTTTTTGCATATTCTATTGTCACAGTGCCGTTTTTATTATTATCGCCATTCAAAAAGGCATTTTTTAAATTGATTTCAGAAATTTGTACTTTTTTAAACTCTTTGTTAATAACATATTTTAAATTTACTTCATTACCTAAAAAAAAACCAAAAAAATTCTGTTAAAATTTATATGTGCGTCAGAATAAAAATAGAACATGAATTATTTCACACCTCACATGTCTAAAAATACTTATATTAAAATTACAAAAACTATTTTTTTATTAATTCTTTTGAAATAGCACTTATTTCATAATTTTCGAACAAAAATATTTTTTATGCAACGCTTCCAACCCGACCTAATTTAAAATTTGAATAAAGATTAGTAGATATAAATACTAAACAAATAATGTTTTATTAAAAATTCAAATTCCAGTTACTATTAAATTATAAGCATTTTACTAAACTCAAATAATGTGGGCTCATTTAAAAAAACGAATTTGACATCTTGACAATGTATAAGAATTGAACTTAAATAGTATTACATAGCTAATAATTCAAGAAATATGTAACTAATGATAAAAAAAAAAAAAATAATGAAATTACTTTTATTCTGTAAGTAGTTGGGTGGGATATAAAAAAAAAATTAGACTGCATTTATGCTAATATTATATTTTTATGGCTTTTCATTTTGTTGCCCTCGGTAAAAAAATCATCTATAGTATGGCTTGCGTGTGTTGTCGACCCTAGTTATAAGCAATTTTGTGGACTGTATAACTTGTACTGTGTCATATAAGTATACACTATATATAATATAAAAATATTTATTTGTGCTTTTTAATTAGAAATAATTTTTTGCGTAATTAAACATTAGAGAAGAATATGAAATCTAAAAGGGAAACCCAAGATCACTCTATAATTTTATTTATTCTTTTTTATTTTATACGATTATCCACTTTCTAATCTATTGTCTCCATATTTTTACTTACTTTTTCCTTTTTTTGATTTATAACAAAATAATAAAAAAAATTATTTTGACTTAATTTAATTGTGCACACATTATTATTAAACAAATCAAAGCAAAATGTGAATTATATTAAAATTTATAATAGTTGTCAATTTGATCTCTTCCACTCTGTATAAAGTTAAAAAATTAAATCTCCAATACCTAATATGTTCTCCGCTTCGAGTTCTTTTTTCACTATGGACATATCTATTTCTAATTTTTTTGCATGCCTTTCCATTAACTTAATACCAATATCAAAATCATTATCTGCATATGGGATCAATTTTCTATACAATTCTTGTATGACGTAAAATGATATGGGATATTCTTCCTAACAAAAATGAATGCAATAAAGTTATTTAGTAATTTATAGAATATTATTGTATAAAACTCTCATAACTTTTGATACAATTAACATTTAGCTATAATTTTATTTTTCAAATAATTTATGAATTTGTAGCCTACAGTAAAATAATATTTTTAATAATAAAAAATATAAGATGGGATTTTTTTTATATTATAATTATTTCAAAAGTTACGTATTTTAATTTTTAATACCATTTCTCATAAAATATGTCATTGGTCAATAAAAACTTTTAGGATAAATACTTATTGAGTTACAAGCATATTAGTACATAAAATGGAGATATTTAACGCGGTTGGAGTATGCATTATAAATATACTTTAGTTAGAGCTGCAACCATGAACTCTACATAACCACCATATGTATAAAAATGTTTGTACCTCAAAAGTTACTTATCCTAAATTTATTATCGACCTATTAAAAATGTTTGTAAGAAAATGGCTAAAAAATGATAATTTTAAAATAATAAACAAATTAAATTTTCATTTTATCGTTTAATTAAACGCAAATAATAATATAAATATAATTTTAAGATTGTCTCTGAGTGAACAACATTAAACAAAAAAATTACTGCAAGATGTTAATTTTATCAAAAGTTATAAGAGTTATCAGAATATGCTAGACCATGTTTATGCCTTTATAGATAAATGTCATTTTTTTTTTTATATAATGTGATCCGTTTAATAAAATTTACTCAATAATTTATAAAATAAAAAATTTTGTAAATAAATATATTTGATATATTTAGTAAAATATAGAATGACCAGTAAGTAAGGAAACAGGTAAATTTTT